TTAGCTTAATTTTGCTTTGCTTATCGAATTGCAAATGGTATTAAAGATAGCTAATAATAAATAATATATATCAATCCAACTAAAGGAATAAAATTTGAATAAATAAATAATATTATAAGAAAAATATGGGACTTTTCATCTTTTACTGTTGACTAATATTTAGATAAAAATATAGGTTTAATTTTTGAAACATTAAAATATTAACACTCTAACTAATGTAAAAAAACAATTTGCTTCTGTAAAAATTATTAAGAATTACTAAAAGAAGAAGAAAATAGTACTAGAGTTCATTTCTTTAAGTAATATATATTTAATTTGTTTTAACTTTTCCTCAAATCAAAAAATTAAAATTAATAACCTTAATCTAAAACTGATTATAATATATTAAGATTCTCTTATTTGGCTTATATGGTAGATATTTTAGAAAATCCTCTGGTAAGTCTTCCTTATTTAGCAAAATTAAATAAATTAAAATTCAATGCAAGAGATTAAATAATTCTTTTTTTATTATAATAATAAGCAAATATACGCTTCAAGAAAATAATTTAACGTAATGTTTCAGATAGTTGTAAAGAAATTATATGTTTTGATAAAAAAATGGGTCTTTTATAAGAATATATGAAGGAAATTTTAAATAAATAATACAATTTTTTTTATTTTTTAGGATAAGATTATTTAAGATTATAATAATTGGATGATAAAGCTTAAGAAATAATATAGTTATAATAAAAAATCGAAAAAATAATTTATGAATTATTCAATTATAATAATTAAAATTTAAGGCTTTTAGAAATAACTAAAATATTTATAAATTAATTCGATTTTCTTAAAGACAAAATAAAAACTAGAATTAAGAATATAAAAAAAGCTTCATATTTAAATTACACAAATTAATTCATTTTTTTAAATAATTAAGCATGTGTTATATATATGTCTCTATTAAAGCCATTAGGAATTATAAAGCATTTAAGTAGTAACACTTCTTAAATCATTGGGTTTCTTAAATATTTATTTTATAAATATTTAAAAAAAAAAAATAATATAAAGAATAAATTAAAAAGACATCATTGAAAAAAATGTAAAGATTTTAATGCCTTAATAAATTGCGAAAATGCATGATTAAATTATTAAAGATTTTATAGAAAATAAAGAATTAGAATAGCTTGATAAAAGAAGCAAAATTGAAAAACCATTTTTTATTTAAAAAATTGATAATATATTAATTTAAGTTGTGCATATAAAATTTTAATTAAGTTAAATGTCTTTGACAGAATTCGGTATTTCGAGTATAATTTATTAGCCATAATAAATATAAAATGTAATATTAATAGATAAAATAGAAAATAGATATAAAAAAAAAATGTGTATTATATGACAAATTTAACATAAAAAATATATAAATAAATTTTTAAAAGGGCATACGAAAAAAAATGTATTAAAAAAAAAAAAAAAATGATTATAAATATATATATATATATACCTATATATATTTATATATATATTATATATTATTTATATATTTTTAGATTTATATAATTAATTATTTATATATTTATATTTTTAGATTTTTATATATTTTTTTATTTTTTTTTATGATTTTTATTTATATTTATTTTTAAAACAAAAATTTTAGAATAACTTCATTTTATAGATATAAATATGGTTTTACCCGAAATAATGCTTATTTTTAATTAATATATAGATGAAAAAACTAGTTACTATTAAAAATATTAAAATGGTATAAAAAGTATATTAATTTATCCAAAGTATGAATTCCAATAAAAATTGTTTTATTTATAAAAAGAAACATATAATTCATGTGAATAAGCCATAATGTAAATTTTTAGTTATTTATAAGGAAATATTGATATTGGAATAGGAGAAATATAATGTTAATGGAACTAAATTGATATAAAAAATTAATTAAATAAAATATACTATTTACAAGTTCAGAATATAAAAATATTTAAATCTTTAATTGATAAATATACAATTATTAATTTTTATAAAAAGAAGTTACAATAATAATATTATTTAGATTTATCAATATAAAAAGAATTATATGATTCTTTAAAACTTAATAAAGATCAAAAATCTTTTTTTTCATAATAAAATTAATCTAAAAAGTAATAATAAAATTTTATGGTTTCAGCTTTTAAAAGTAATATTAAGGAATAATATTTTGATGATAAACCTTCTAATATTTTTAATTTTTCTTAAAATATACTTAAACGTTAAACCAGTAATTCAATTTATAATTAACAAAATAATTCTTAAAATGAAATCAAAATTGATAATTTTTCTCCTATCCCTTATTAAAAATCTTATTAAGATATTAATTTTTCTGCTTCTTATGTTAACGATTCATCTTATTCTCCTAATCTTCCTAATTTATTAATTTTAGAATGTTCATCTCATAATATAGACCAAAAATCTAACGATTAATCGTAAAATTATTATATATATCTTTTTTATTTATTAGAAAATATAAATTTATTTTATATTAAAGATAATTAAAACATCATAAACAAGTTAATTAAATATTTAAAAAGAAGCTTAATTAAATATATTCAAAGTTAATTTCAAAACTAATTACACTGAAAAGGAAACTAAAGATATTATAAAAAAAAACGATTAAACACATGAAGGATTAATTTAAAAAAAATGTATTTAACAATCTTATTATAACAACTAAAAAATGAGAACTACTAAAGATTAAATTTCATTATGTATTTATTATAAAAATAACATTAAAAAAAAAATATTATTTTTTTAATAAAAAAGAAACATTCTAAGAATTATCATAGAGTTAATTAAATAGTTCTAATAAAATTAACGATTGTTTAGTAACTATATAAACAGATGAATAAGTAGATACAAGTTAGTAAAATAGTACTATGATTTATAAAAATAATAATTAAATAAATGAATTATAATAAAGTTAAAGTGAAATTAATTAATAAAAAAAGTTTGTTATCGAAAGAACTTTTGAGTAAAGTGATACATATTTTTTTAATTTAGTTCGATTATTTTCTTTTTTTGTAATGAGTATTTAGTTAATTCTAACTACTTTAACCCAATATAACTTATATACTAATTTTTAAACAATTAATGAGATTTATGACTTTTTATGTATAAAAATATTTATTATTTTTTAATCTTTTTTAAAAAATATAGTTTAAAATTCCTATTTTTAATATTATGAAAGCTTTATTATATAAATAAAAATGTTCGAATATATATACAATAGTAAAATATATAACTAATTGTTCCAAATGAATTTCAATAAATAATAAAAGATCTTAAAAAAGAATAAATTCAATAATTTAAAGATTATTCTAATGAAGTATATTATATAGAAAATATAAGCAATAGCTTTATTGTCCAAAATTTCATTCAATAATAAACATTTGGAATTTATTAATTTTAGTAAGAAACTAAAAATAAGAAATCTCAATAAATTTAATTTATATATGGCTTAATTAATTAAAAATTCAATTATTTCTAATATATATATTAACCTTCATAATCTTAAGATTAATTAATTAATGATAATTACTTAATATTTTAATAATAATATATATATAATATTGATTAAATTTATAAACTATTAAATAATCATATACAAGAAAGTAAAAAAAAAAACTTTTTATATTTGCTTTTTATTGAAATAATGTCAATTTTAAACATACTAATATTAACTATTAGTTATTACAAAGGTTTGGAATTTAAAGAAGCCAAGTTAAATTTATTCGCTTATTTTTAAAAAGAAAAACTTGAAACTTTATAATTTAAAATATTATCTATTTTATCATCTTCATAATTAAGTAACAGAAATTTAATGAAAACATACAAAGTAATAAAAACAAAAAAGTAAGAAAAAAAATAAATAAAATCTTATTTTTTTTTTTTTTTTTTAATAAAATAAAAATAATAATAAATAAAAAGTCTTTAAAATTTAGTAAATCATAATAAAAATGGAAAAGAAAAATTATAAGTTAAACTGATAATTTGTAAAAAAATTAATTTTAACTTTTTTTTTTGGTCTTATTTATTTTATTGATAATGAGCTTTTACCCGTTTTTTACTTATATTTATTCGAATATTTTATTTGAAGAACTTTCTTAATCAATATAAGATTAATATTTTATTTAAAAAAATAAAATTTATGTTTCCTTTAATTCTGGACTTCTCTTAATTAAATTTGCTGACTAAGTTTAATAAAAACTTATTTCTTAATTTTTTTCTGAAAGTTTTTAATAAAAATGGGATTTTATAAGCTAACATATAATGTTCTAAAATATATAAAGCCTTAATTTATTATAAAAAAATTTAGAAAATAGTAAAAGGTCAAATATATCTGATTTAAAAAGGATAATTATAGATTGGATGGAATAGGATTTGTGTGAAAAGCTTCCTTAATAATTCTATGAATAATATATAACGATTTAAAAAGAAAGTTGTTAAAATATAATGAATAAATAATTAACTAATGGATATATAATATCAGTAAGTTTAATATTTAAAATGCAAAAAGAGCTAATGGAAATATTTAAAAATAAAAGCAAAAGCGAACTGTAAAAATGGGATGAAATAAATAACTTTTATTAATTTTTTTACTATAAAAATGGATTTAATTTGTTTCTGATTATATAAGTATTAACTTGTAAAATTATACTATTCTTTTTATTAACTCTATTAATTAATTAATTATTTTTACATATATTGGATATTTTTTTTTGATTTTAAATATATAGATTTTTATTTATGATAATAATATTAAAAAGTAGAATAGATCTTAGAATCAAACATAACTTATTTTTTCTATTTTCTAAGTGGAGAGTATTATTGAAAATAACTATTTCTTTTCATATTTTAAAAGAAACAAAAAGATTTTATAAATATGATTAATTAAATTTTTGTTTTAATATTTTTTAAAATTAATTATATTTTTTTTCTTAATACATATATTAATATACATATCTAATATATATTTTTATTCACCACAATCTTTTACTTTTAGCCCCTTCTTTTCTGAATTTATTAGGAATTCTTTTTTATATAGGCCAAAGATCACCCCAATTTAATTTTTTAGCCATTCTATATTCTTTTTATCCATGAGATTTAGCTGTAATTCTTCTTACAAATTGACCTTCTTGAGTACACAAATCATAAATGACATGTCCTTATTTTTTCATTGTCGGAAAAATAATTCTATCCCAAAAGAACGATTAGTCTGCCAAAGTCATTTTTTCGAAATCTTCATCTATATTTTTACTTCTTTCAGCATTTTTTTATATTACGATATAACAAAATTTTTCATCATCAAATTATCTTTCTTTAAGATCTTTAGCTATTATCTTTTTTGGATATTTCCCTATTTTCTATTCAAAATGGCACCAAGTATCATCTTTTTCGGATAATGGACAAGATCCATGATGCGGACAAGGTGCAATAATTAAAGGCTTTTCATCTTTTTTTTCTTCTAATATATATTTTCTGAAATCATGAGCAAATCTAAAACCTTTTGGCGATCCATTTTCTACAAAAACAATAAGTCCACCCTTTTTTAATTTATTCCAAAGACTATCAATAATAACAAGTCTTGCTTATTATTTAGTTTTTAAAAAATGGAATAAATATAAATATTTATAGTTTTTTAAAAAATAGTACATTCAGGAGAAGGAACTTCCTATAAAACATGTCCAATATAAATAATATCATATTCTTAAGCAAAAGGGAAAGAAATAGTCTAAGCAAGGTTTTCTACAAAAACCAAATTCTTTATATCTTAAGTCATATGTTTTCCTAATTTTCTCATATTAGTAGAAGGCTCGCACGCTATTATATGTTTAAAATTCGGAAATGTGTCATTAAAGGCTATACTTCCACTACCGATTCCAGCTCCGAAATCAAGGAATGTTTAAGGTTGAAAATTTGGTAATCTATATTTGATTTCATTTAAAATTCTACATGCAACTCCAAATGTATGGGGAGCTTTTCTTAATAAATATGCTACAGATGCATTCTAAGTATATTAAATCAATTGAAGTTATATGTTTGTAGAATTATTTGCTTATTTTATTATTTTTTCTTCATTTTCATTATATTATTCTTCTTCTTTTTTATTTTCATATTATTTTTAAATTTTTTAATTATTCTTTTTTTCGTTCAATTTTTCTTCTATTTCTTCCCTTGATATATTTTTACTATGTAAATAAATCAATTTATTGGCTTCGTCTTTGTTATTTTTTATAATACTTTCCGTATTGACAAACAAACGTACATTTTTTATATTTCCTGGTTTCTCAACTGCATGTAATTATTGATACATCTTCATAAAGTCGAATCCCATTTTTTTAATATCTTTATGGGGATATTTGCTAAATACTTATTGGGCCCTCAAAAATACTTTTTCAGGAAAATATTGTATGTTTAATACGCATTATGCAATAAATTTCTCATCTATTTTTGGATCCTTTGGATCTGTTCTTTCTTGAGGAGATAAATGTTTTTTAGGCATTTATGGATCTATGGACTAAGCTTTTTTTTGTTTCTGTTTTAATGTTGGCTTTTGGACAGGTTATACTAGTTTACGACTAAATAAAAATATTTGTTTGTGTATTATTTATGCAATTTTTTTCATATTTTTTTTTTTTTGTTAATTTAGGATATTTATATTTTTGTCTTTTTATTTTTTTATTAAACTATTTTGTATTCTATTTTTTGAATTTTATTATAATTATTTATTTATTTCTAATGATAATTTATAAATATTTCCATATTATAAGAAAAAACGAAATAATGTTTAAATTATAAATACATGTAATTAGGAATATTGTTTAATTTAAAATTGAAATAAAATTAAAATTTTAATTAAACTACAAAAATATTTAAAATTATACTATTTATGTTTTATTTAAAATAAATATATTTTATCGATATTAAAAAAAAATATATATTTTTTAAAAATTTTCTTTAAAAAAAAATAAAATTTATGTAAATGATTTAAAAATTGGCTATTTTATATAAATATTTTTTTAAATTTAAATTAAATTAATTCGAAAAAAACATCTGTTATTCTTATAATTTATGTTTAGTTTATAAGCGTATTTTATATAAATTTAAACTATTTATACAGAATTAATAATATAAAAAAAAAAATTAAAATAAAATATGATGTAATGATAATAATAGTATTATCAAGTTATTATTTATAAAAAAGATTTTGAAATTAAATAAAAGATTAATATAAAAATAATTTATTTATATATTTATTTATAAGTATTTTATTTTAAAGGTAAATACAAATTATTTTAATTTATTTTTGTAAATTAATATATTATTTTAAAATATTAATTTTATTTTATAATAAAAATTGTTTGCTATAATGGGTATATTAAGTTTAATTATTAATTATATTATTTTGTATATTTAATTTTTAATGTTAATTAATTAAATTTAAGCAAAAAAGCTAAATAGTTATAAAGTATAAATATTGATAATATATAAAAATTCTGTAGAAATTAAATAAATTATCAAAGAATTGTTAACAATTGTAATATTTATCATAATACAGAAAAAAGAAAAAAAAAAAATAATTAAAAAAAAAAAAATAATTAAAAAAAAAATAATTATAAAAATACAAATAAATGTCTGCTGTAATAAAAAATAATTTAAATACATCAGAAAATTAATATTAAAACTATAGTAATCCTGAAGAATTATTAAATTTTGATTTATATAAGTAAAAAAACCTTATTTTTACCTTTGAAGACTTAAAGAAAGCTATTTGTTACTTCCCTAAGAAACATAAGAAGATAAAAAAGCCCCTAATTCCTTGTATCTTGTCTTTTAAAAAAACAAGAAAATAATTAAAATATTAAGCAAAATTATTATAAACATAAAATAACTAAATTTCAACAAGAAATAATACAAAATATATATCTAAATTGATGTATAAAAACTCAAAAACTGAAATTTCGGACACTCTTTCTCCATAGTAAAGTTAAACTAGAGCGTAATTAGATATAGTATAAAAAGAAAAAATAATTGAAAATGAAGAAAAGGTGAATGAAACAATCGATCAAAAACAAATAGATGAAAAGAAGCTTATTACTTAAAACAAATAAATAGATAAAAATAATTGTGTCATTTTAGACACTCCTTATAAAAAGTATTTATTAAGTAAAAGATAAACATAATGTGAAAACTAAATCACAAAAAAAATATAAATCATTTCTTAAAAAAATGATAAAAACATATACCCAGATTTTAAAAATAGTGTTTTAAATATAAAATAATTTATTAAAAATAATAACAATCATGAAAATAGTGAAAGTTCGACAAGATAATCAGATTCTCCTTTAAAGTTTATTTAGATATTTTAAAATAATAAACGAAAATAAAATATTGAATCATCTCCTGATCCTAAAAAACAAAAGAATGTTTGTGTTGCAAACTTAACAAATAATTTACAAAATTAAACAAATAATTAACATAATTAAATGCATATTAAAAATGATAATAATACTTTATTAATTAAAAGTTCGAATAATATTATTAGTGAATCAGCTATACCTTAAGATTACTAGGAAACAATACCTCATTTATACATTAGAAACTAACATTATGCTACAAAAGTTGGATATTAATATTAAGTTACGATTCCAGAATTAGGAAGTTATGATTATAATCAAGATTATATAAAAAGATTAATATTAAAATAAAAAATTTGGCAACCTGATTGGATAAAAAATAAATATATCTAAAAATGTACAGAATAATTAAAACAATGGTATGGTTTTAGAAGAAATTAATAGGAATGTATTTAATTTTTAACTTTATGTTAATATGATACATTTATATATGAAAAAGTACTTGAATAAAATTAGTAAATGCTTTATTAGTATTATGAATAAAATGATTAGAAAATGCTTAAAAAAAAGAATAAAAAAAAATCTATTTTCTCGAATAAATGATTTTTTATTAAAATTTTTTAATCAATTTATTTTAAACAATTTTTTAATTTACTCATTCTATATATTTTATTTTATTTTAAAAAGGAGGGAATTTGTTTTTTGTTTTTACAAATTGTATTATATAAACTTAAGAATAAATAATTGAAAATAAAAATATTTATTATCGTCGATATATAGCAATTATTATCTTTTTAAATTAGTAAAATATAAAAAAAGTAATATTTTTCATTAAAGTATAGAAATATTATAAATGTATAATATCAATCAATATATTTCTATACTTATATATATTACTTGTTTATATATTTTTTTTAAAATGAACTATATCTATAAAAAAAAAATGTCATTAATTTCACTTCAAATATAAAAAATTAATAAACATAATACCAATATATTTTTATATATATAAAAATTTATCTATTTTATAATATTTTTATATTTTATTTATAATTATTAATCATAATTCCTTTATATTTGGAAGAAAAAAAAAATATTTATACTTAAGCAATTTATTATTATTTTTAAATTTGTATAAATTACAATTTAAAGAAAAAAAAAAATATAATATGTAAAATTTTTAATATTTATGTATAATAATAATTTATAATAGTTTGTTTTTTTATTTATTTTAATAAATATTATATTTAGAAAAAAATGTTATTTTTGAAATAAACTTTATAAAATATTAATTTTTTAAAATTTAATCTTTTGACTAAAAAACAATATAAAGGAAACTTTTAAAGTAATTAATTTTAATGAAATTAATTGTAAAAATTATAAAATTTATTTTTAATATTTTTATTTATTAATAATTTAGGTTTTTTTTTAAAAAAATTGAAGTATTTAAATTTTCAAAACTTTTAAATATTTTCATTTAAGAAAAAAATAATTTTGATAAAGTTAATAAAATATAATATATTTATTTAATAATTTATTTTTAATATAATAAATATAATTATAAAATATATAATATATTATTAAAAAGAATATTAATTGATTAAAAAACAATTTAATTTATTAATTAATAAATATATATTATATATTAATTTTAAATATAAATTATTTTATTTATATTAATAAAATATACATTGAATTAATACTGTTAAAATTTATAAGGCTTTAAATAGAAAATAAAATATTAAATAATGATCACTTTAAAATATATAATCTATTTTACTTTTTATAATTATTCAATATAATTAAATATTAATTAAAAAAATTAATATATTAATAATTATTTAAAAATAACAAATAGTTAATTTTCTAACCAAAAATATAAAAATGGGTGCAGAAATATCCAAAGAACAGCAAGAATTATAAACAAATGATGAGTACACTAAGAAATACTAACAAATAATACAAAATTTTATATCAAATGGTAGTCACAACGATTTATATTTTGGAAATTTCGAATTATTTACATATAAAACAAATTAAAATTATAAAATAATTTAAGTAGAATCTCATCTTCATAATGAAGTAGAAATGAATAATGAATTTTAGGAGAAATGGGAACGAGTTTTAAGTTTAAATTTGCATCCAAACATAATTTAACTACATAGTATTTTTTTTTTTTGTATAAATTGTAGTCTAAACTTTATATTATTTTTAACTTAAAAAAAGTGTGCAAAAGATTTATTGAAGATTCAGTATGTAGTCGTTCATTTAAAATATATAAATTATATGATTATATATAAGGAAATTTAGAAATGCAAATATAAAGTCATTTATAGCAAAATATTAGATTTTAAGAGGATGAATTGTGGAAAATATTAGATAGTGTATCTGGTGGCCTCTCATTTATATATAATAATGGTTAAAGACATGAATATTTACGACCAGATACAATATTCATAGTGCAAAAATCAGATAATAGTTTAATATATAAGATTTCTGATAGAAGTGTGTTTAACTTAAAATCTAATTATTAAGATTGTTTAGAAGGAAACTATAAAAATAGGTATTTATCACCAGAATGTATGAAAGGGTTAATGAATATATTTGAGAAAAGTGATGGAGTTCCTTCAAAAAATGATGTATTTGCACTAGCTTTAATAATTATATATTGCGGAACTATGCAACCAATGGAAGGTGTTTACGATTTTTCTCAAAAAACAATAAATTACATGTTTATAGGTAAACAAAACAAAAAAATAGAATAATTTATTTTAAAAAAATAAAATAAAATAATAAAAAGAAAAATAATTATAATTGTTTTCACTTAGTTATAATATGGAATTAGCAAATTTACTAAGAGAAATGCTTATTGAAGATGAAAATATGCGAATGGATTGTGTATAATTAGACTATAAATTAAATATGTATCCGAAACTATAAAATAAACGAATATCATAAATAGCCAAACCGGAATCACTGTTATAATTAACACTATTAGATGGAAATAACTTTATAATGTAATAATAAATTAATAATGACTAAAATAATAATATATTATAGCATACCAATAACATAAAGACTAATAATGGATTGATTAATAATAATTTAATTAATAGCAACGGATAAAATATTGGATTAGTTAATAATAATAGTATAATGAATAATAATAATCTTATTAATAATGCAAATAATAATAATAATTAAAATATTTTTGGATTTTAAGATAATAATCATTTATAAAATTTTAATGATAATAATAATAATATTATATATTCTAATCATGTACATAATTCTAGCAATTTTAATTAGTTTCCTTTAAATAATTAAAACTCTTATCATAATTAATAAAATATGATATAAGATTTTGATCATAATTAAATATAAAATATGAATATGGGTTAGTATAATAATAATAATATGAATTCATTTAATAATAATAATATGAATCCTATTAATAACATGCATAATAGTTTCAATAATAATCATTAATATTAAGATTAAATGAATAATAATTTAAATTAATATCAAATAATGAATTTAATATAATAATTTTTAAACAATAGTAATAATAATATGTAAAATAACAATTATTTTGATAATATAAATAACTTCAATCATAATTCAATTAACAAAAATTTTCTTTTATAATAATAAATGTAACAATATTAATTTATTTAACCCAATAATAATAATATTGCATAAAAAATTTAATTTCTTGGAGGACTTCAAAATACAAGCAAACATCCAAACATTCTAAATAATATTCCTAGAAAGAAATAAGCGTTTTATTATGAAGATGGATCTTATTATGAAGGAGAAATGGTTCTTGAATATCGAGACGGATTTGGAAAACTTATTTTTAGTAATAAAGGAGCTTATGAAGGTATATGGAAACTTAATAAAATGCATGGAAAAGGTACGCTATATTATCCAAATGGAGATAAAGTTTATGAAGGAGATTGGTTCGAAGATTAATTTAATAATTTTGGACATTTATTCAATAACAGACCATTAGTCATATAGTAAAAATTTGATTATAAAGACTTTGATTAACTATAAAATTAATGGGTAAAGTATGAAGGAGAATTTACTTTAGATAAAAAATAAGGATTTGGTACTCTTTTTTTAAGTAATGGAGAGAAATATTCAGGAAACTTCAAATAAGATACAGTAAGTGGATATGGAATTTTTTATACTTTAGATGAAGAATCTGTAAGTGGATTATGGGAAAATAATAAATTTATTAAAAGAATGTGATTAATATAAATTATATATATTTATTAAATAATATAAATATATATTTATATATATATATTTATAACATTTTATATTTATTTATTTAAAATTATATATATTAATTTCTCATTTTAATTTGTATTTTTCGAAATTATAGTTTTTTTTCTTTTTATTTAATATTTCTTCATTATTATTACTGATATCCATTTCTTCGATTTCACTTATATTTGAAAATCCTTTTAATTCATTTATTGTATTATTATTTTAACTTTCATTATTATTATTTTTGTAACTAAAAATAGGTTTTTCTTTTTTATTTGTAATTTATTTTTTAGTTTATTTTTGTTCTTAAGATTTATTAAAGTATTTGCTATAATCATAATTTTCATCATCGATTTGGTCATTAACAACTTAATTTTAAGCAGAATATTCTAAATTGGCGATTAGGTTTTCCAATCTATTCAAAACGAGATTAGATTTTTCTTTTTTTTAAATAAGAAGTGTATTATTATTTATGTTATACGATACATTTGGTTAAATAATTGTAGATGGATTTATCATATTATTTTATACATTAGTTTAATCTACAAAAGATTATATTCTATCTTCATTCTTTTTTTCAAAAATATTAATTATTTTGGGTTTTTTGAAATTGCTTTATTTACTATTATTTTATGATAAGTTTTATTTCATATCTTTTTATTATTAAACTAATTATATATTAGCACTTATAGGCCTTTGGTTATTATTCATTTATAAAATTTGGCTTTTTAATTAATTAAGTTTCATATGTCTTTAAATATCTTCACTATTATCAAATTCTTCACTTTATAAAGTTTTCTAATTCTCAGGATCTTCTTAATAACTTGCATTTATTTAATTTCTAACATCATTTGAATGAATAAATTCTCCTATTTTTTATTAATCTAAGTCATCATCGGGTAAGGCAAGTGATTATTCGTCATTATGAAATTCGGCTTCTTTCATTTCTATTTCTTGTTAATTGGAAAAATCTAATACTTCAGGAGGTACTTCTTCTTCATAATTATTTTTTTCGTTTCCAATTTCTTAATCTATATATTCCTCTTCTTCTAATGAATTTTATGTTATATTTTCATGTTGAATTTCAAAATTTTATTCTTATTAAATATCAAGCTTTTCTTCTTCTTTAGATGTTTTTAATACTTTTTTTTATTTAGATTTTTCTATCTACATTTAAATATTTTTTTCTTCTTTTTTTTCGGAATCCTTTTCTTGATTATTTAATTCAATATTATGCTTTTTTAACATAAACATAACATTTTTATGTATATTTTAATCAATTTAATGATTATCTTTTACAGTAGAACTAATTTCACTAATTTAAGTTTACCCCAATCCATCTTCTTCAATATTATTTTTATTTTATTGTGGCACATTTATAGTATAATCATTTAAAGTATTTGTATTTTCTTAATTGATTTTAGTTTTTTCATTAAAGTTTTCTTTTATTACTTCTTCTTATTATTCATTATCTTTTATATATTTAGAATATCTGCCTTCCTAAATATGTTCTTTAAACATTTTATAATAATCAGCAGTTTTAATAAGCTATGTTTCTATGCCATATTATATATTTTGACTTGGATTTGTGCCATATTATACATTTTGGCTTGGATTTGTAAGTTTATTATTGGAATTTTAGATTTAATTGTTATTTATTTTTTGTTCTTCTTATTCAAAATATTTTTCTGAATTTTCTTAATATTTCTATAAATTTTAATCATGTCTTTATATTTTTTTTGTATACTTTTATTTATTTTCTGAATTTTCTTATTACTTTTATTAATTTTCTCCATATTATTAAATATTTATTAACTCTTTGTCATTTTATTATATACTTTGAAATTATTCATCATGTTTTAATATACTTTGAAATATATCTTTTTAATTATTTTGTGTATTTTCTAAATCTTCTTCATGTTTAGGCATTTCTTAAATTATTATTTATTAGTTTTATTAAAAATTTAATTTTTTCATTTAATTGTACTCGTTAAAATCTCTTAAAAAACTTTAGTTAAAATTCTCTATTTATACAAAATTACTTTCACAAGGAAGACTATTTTCAAAATTGGACTAATTATATTAAAAAGCTTGATTTTTTTATAAAGTAAATTTTTAATTTTCATTATTTTTTATATTAGGGTTTTTATATTAATTATTTAAATTATTTTATGAGAAGTTTTAAATCTATTTTTATTAAGAAATTAAATTTTCGTTTTGCATTTCTTAAAAAATTTATTTATTATTAAAAGTATTATCATTAAAAAATTAGCATTTATAAAAGTTCTCATTATCATTTAAATTTTATTTAAATTCGCTTATATTGTTTAAAAATGAGTTTTATTTTTTTAATAAATTCTATATGTTTTCTTTTGAAATGTTACCTGAAATGTATTAACTGTTTATAGCTTATTAATTGTCTTAAATTTTACCTAAATAATCAATATTTTTATTAATTTAAACGATAGATTATTTCAAACAATTTATATAATTAATCGAGTCTTATGGATTTATATTATTATTCATCATTATTTAAGAAAGAGTATTCAAATTTATCTTTTCTCCAGTTTTTACTTCTAATTCTTTTTAAATTTTAATGATTTCTTTCAAATATTATTCTTTTTCTAGCTAAGCTTACCTAAGTTAATTCCTATATTATTCAATAAGTATTTATTCTTATAAAGCAATTTATTAAATTTTTAGTTTCTCTTCCATTATTAATCTTTGCACCTCTAACTCTTATTTATTTTAGTATAATTAATCGAAATTATTATTAATCAATGGACTCATATATCTAAATTAGTTATTAAAAAATAGCTATGCATAAGGATCAATTACCATATTTTAATATTAATATCCATTCCAATTAGGAGCATTTTAAAAACCGTTTTAATAAGGATTCATGTTTTAATATTAATTTTAAAATACTTAATTATTTTATTAATAATTTTCACTGTTATGTATATTATTATTATTTTCATATTATTATTATTGATAAGGTGTTTTTACTTATAAATAAATATATTCACTTGGTTCTTATTTTTACAATTATAATTATTATTATTATTATTATTATTATTATTATTATTATTTTTCAAAATTATTATTAATATGTAAATCTTTTTAAGGAATTTCAGATGATATTTTTTTTTTCTATTAATCCTCTTATTTTTAATTATCATCTTTTTTATGTAATACATTTTTGTTAAAATCTTAAATTTCTTATTTCTTTTTATTATTTTTTTAGTTTTCTTCAATGTCTCTGAGTTTTTATTCTTCTAATTATTATTTTATTTTTATTTCTTCTAGTTGGTCTTGCTTTTTTTTCATGAGTTTTTCTGTTTCTTTTTTTTTTCTTGTTCTTCAATTTATTTTTTAAGTTCTTCTCTATATTTAATTTTTGCATCCATATTTAAAATATTTTTTTGCTCTTTTTTTGGAGTAAAGCATTCAATGTTTTCATTTTGGTTAATTTCTTTTTAAAATTGTTTTTTATCTTATAAAATATATTTATTTTCTTAATGTAAATTTTTATATTCCAAATCTTATTTTTATTCTTATTATTGTATTTGTTTTTTTAATTCTATTTATTTATTTAAATCTTCCATAAAAGCTTTTTTTTTCTCCTTTTCTTTAATTTTTTAATCCTATTAACTTTTATTCCAGAAATCTCCTTCTTTTTTAATTTCTTATTCAACTTCATAAGTTTTTAAATAAGTATTTTTTTCAATTATTTATTGCATTAATTAGTCAGCATATTATTCTTTTGTTTAATTAATAATATCTTATTATTAAATTTTCTTAGTTTTATTATCATTTTATCCGAATTTATCAAAAAATGAAATTTCTTTATCTTCTAATATTTTTTTTTTTCGTCTTTAAATCTCTGTAAATATTATTATTAATTTTATAATTAATTTTCTATTTATGTTTTTCTTTTATTTTCATTTCCGAATTTTTCGAAAAATTCAATATTTATGTTTTCATCTTTAGATTTTCTCCTGTTTTGAGCGCTATAAGGTTTTATTTGATTATTTTTTTCCATATTTTAATTATTTTTTTATTATTCATCTAAATCTTATTTATATTTTAACATTTTTTATTTTTTTTCATTATTTTTATTATCTTGTATTTAATCTTATTAATAATTAAATCCTATTACATTGTTTTTTTACAAATTTATACTTTTAATTTCTGGAGTTGCTGTACTATTTATATGTTTTATATTATTGTTATTTGTTTCATTATTTTAATTTTAATTATTATTGTTTTCTTTATAAGAATTTTAAATCATATTTTTATTAATATTTTCTTTAAGTTTATTAATTTAATTTTAATTATTTAAGTTAATATTATTAATATTTTCAAATTCTTCTTTTTAAAATTGTTATTATTTAAATTAAATATTATTATTATCCTATTAAGGAATCATTTCTGTTTAATTTTTTTCTTTTATAGTATTTTTTGTTTCTATTATATTTATATTTTTATCGTAAACACTTATTTCTTCCCCTAATAATCTTCGAGCTCTTTCTTATTCCCTTAATTTTAGTCTTTTTTATCTTTCCATTTCTCCTATAGATAATTATGTTTCCTGATTAAATATTAGGTAATCATTGTTATTTGGATTATCTTATTATTATTTTTATTAATATTATTAAACTTTCTCATTTCTATTTAATTTTTATTTATATTCATCTTATAATTCCCAAACTTAATTAGGATCCATTTATTCTAATTATTTTTTTAACAAAACTAAATCATTATTTACTTAATCTTAATTTATTTCGGCTTTATTATTTATATAATATTATAAGGTTTCTTACTTTTCTAATAATTATTAATATTGTTTTTATAAACGCTTTTCATTTGCTTATTTTTCGAATTCTTTTTTTAACTATTCTTCATCTGTATATTAAATTATTTATTGTCTTTCTTCTCTTGTTCTAGATGGTCTCATTTTTTTTAATGTTTATTATATATTATTTTACTGAAAACAAAAAAAAAATATAATATATGATTTTAATTTTTTTAATATAAAAAATTCTATATCATATTTTTTTAAATTTATAATAATAATTTTTTATTTTATTTTTTCTGAAAAAAAAAAAATAAAAAAAACAAAACAAAAAATATTGATATATTTTAATAAAAAATAAGTAGATATATATTTTTTTTATTATATTAAATATATATTAATTTATATTATTTAATTATCCATATTATTTTTTTCTTCAATAAAAAATTATGAAGTATAAATTATTCCTTTAAAATACTGAGAAAAAATAAATAAAAAGCAAAAATAATATATAATTTAAAAATAAAATAAAATAATAAATATATTTACTAAATATAAATAATATTTTTTTAAAAAAATTGAATTTTATAAATAAACAATAATTAATTATAATTAGTAAAAAAAAAAAAGTGTTAAAAATAATATTATTTTTTTTAAATTAAAAAATTAAAAAGACTATAAATGAGTAAAAATGTCGAAATAACCGTATTGGTGGAATTGTTTTCAACATTCTTTGAAAAAATAACATTAACCCATCCTGAGAAAGACATATTAATGAAAAATCTATCAAAATTCAAATAATTTCTATATGGTAACTAACATAATCTAGATAAGGGGTACGATTTTTTGCAATAAATGCGTGAATAATATATTCAATATCTTGAATCTAATAATTAAACTTCAGCAAATACTTAATCATAAAATTAAATATTTCATATACAATCTTTATAATCTTAATAATCAATAAACCACAATTATTCCACACAACAATACTAAGAAATCAATGCATAAAAGTAAATAGTAAACGAGAAAAATTTTGAAAACAATAATTAAAAAGTTTTAACAATTCCTGAATATTTATAATAAAAAGGATTAATAATTGAATAAAATATTTAATTTTAATATATAAAAGAGTTTTTTAATACAGAAATATAAAATAATAATGCTTATAAATGCATTGCATTTCGCTTTTTTGAAATTCTTTTTAAAAATTTCAATGTATAAAAACTTTAAGATATACTTGCGAATGTAAAAGAACGCAAAGTTAATCTCGAATAAGACAAAAAGCATATATTTTGTACTTATTTGGAGTATTTTATCAAAAATTTAAAGGAAAAAAACGCTTCGGAATCTTCTGAAAACCTCTACAATTTAATTAATAATGATGAAAATTTTTCATAGTCCTTAGTTTTATATGTGAAGGAACTTGCAGTGCATTTTATTAATGAATCTGATCCTTTATATATAAAATTTCTTTTATAAATTTCGGAAATGGAAACAGTTTAGGACCTTATTAATCATATTAGGTCAAACTAGGAACCTTTGGAAATCACTTTTAAAATAATTTCTTCAAGTATTGAAACTTAAATTAATGTACATTCTCTATAAGGAAATTAAATAGTTGAAAATTAATATAAAATTAACTCTTTGTCGAAACCTAGTGGGGTTTCTATTGATTTATTTAAAGGTTTTAGTGAAAGTTAAAGTATTTATGGTTTATTTTATACATCTTAAGAATGTTCAGGATTTGAAGTTTAAAAAAACATGAAATAAAAATCTATTAATAATAAATAAATTCTTAAAAAAAATAACGTAAATATAATAATTTTTTGTTAAATAAAAAAATAATATTTATTTATTTTAAATTTTAATAGTAAGTTGATGACTTTAAATAAAGAACTTCTTTTTTAAAAAAATTAATTAAAGCTTTTGATGAAAATACTGAAGAATTAATTTACAAATTTAATTATTTTACTAATGGTTAAAACGAGAATATAGAAGAAGAAGAAAATAATAATGAAAAAAATATTAATATATAATAAAATGAAAAAGGATTTAAAGAATAGATTAACAATTCTAAGTCTAGAACACTTAATTTTTATAGTAATATTTAAAATTAAGAAAGGTCTATAAATTGGCTTGCTGAAAATACAAATCCTTATAACAATAATTGAATTAACAAAAAAAATACTTTTGAATATTAAAAATTATATTTTATTTATTAATATTTCTTAAATTAAAATATAAATCTTTCATTTATAAATAAAAAAATATGTATAAACTATCTTAATAATTATCATAAGAGTTTATTTAATTTACAAATTATAGTATATCACCTTATCATGTCGTAGAGCTGATAAAAAGCTAATTAAAGCTAAAAAAATACCAAGAGTTAAATGAACACGAAAACTGGAATTTAAATCCAGGAAACAATTATTTTTTATAAAGATAAGGGAGTTCCTTAATTGCAATGTAAATTCCTTAATATTTGGACTTAAATAAATTGAAATTCAAAATAATTGCAGCACATACAGATTCTCCATGTTTAAGATTAGCACCAAAATCGTTATAATTTATACTTTTTTCATTAAATAAAAAAATAAATACAGGAACATAAATTCAAATAATTTTAAATAACTTGCCATTTGTACATATGGAGGCGGATTATGGCACACATGGTTTGATAGAGATTTGATTTTGGGAGGAAGAATAATATATTAGGATGAAAAAAAAGTGTTAAAAACAACTTTATTTTAAACTGAAAAACCCTATTTTAAAATTCCAAATTTAGCTATTCATTTATAAGAAGAAAAAAATAAATTTCAAATAAATTTAGAAAATCATTTAAATCCAATAATGTCTTATATAAATAAAGAAAACGAAGAAAATTCTAAAAGAGATCATTTCGAAGGATTACTGAATGAAATTTCGGAATAAATAAAGATTCCTATCAAACAAATTTTGGATTTAGATTTATTCTTTTCAGATAATTAGCAAGGACAAATTATTGGATTTAATCAAGAATTCATAAGTGCGGCCAGAATTGATAATTTATTTTCCTGTTGGGCTGCTGTGAAAGCTTTTTAAGAATGTAAATAAGACGAAAATTAACATTCAATTAACTTAATTTGCCTTTTTGATCATGAAGAATGTGGGTCTTAAAGTTCTAAAGGCGCTGGAAGTAACCTTTTGAATTAAACATTATAAAGAATTTGGAAAACATTAAAATAAACAAATGTTTAATAAGATTCTTTAGAAAAAGCTTTCGCAAATTCTTTTTTAGTCTCAGCGGATATGGCTCATTCTATACATCCTAATTATGCTGATTGTCATAAATAAAATCATTAAGTTAAATTAAATGAAGGAATTATAATTAAAGTAAATATATAATATTTATATTTATTTTATTTTTATATATAAAAAAAAAATTAAAATATAGACAAATCATAATTAAAGATATTCAACTGATTCCTTTACCTCAAGTTTTGTAAAATAAATTGCAAATTCAGGCAATATTCCTTACTAAGAATTTATTGTGAAAAATGGAAGTCCTTGTGGAAGTACTATTGGACCTATTGTGTCTAGTAATACAGGTATTAAAAGTGTTGATTTGGGTACGGGAAGTTGGGGAATGCATTCTATAAGGGAAACTTGTGGAAGCTTAGACTCTTATTATTATTTTTAGTTTATGAAATTATTTTTAGAATTTAATTATGATTTTAAATGAGTTTTTTTTTACATATATTTTTTTTTTTTAGTAAATTAATTCTTTTTTTTTTTAAAAAAAATAATTAATAAAAAATATGTAAGAATAAAATCAATAATTGAATAGTCAAAAATAAAAAGGTTTGAAAGATTTTCAAATACTTTCTTGTTAAGAAAATTATAGTATAAAAGCTTATTAATTGATTTAAGAAAATATACTTTTAGATGATTTTACTTATTCAAGGAGATCGGCATTATTTATGCTTTTTTTTCCACCTTTAGTCAATGTATTTTATATATGGAAGCCTTATAGTCCTTTTAAAAACATAGTTAGAATAGGCGTATTTAATGGTTGTTTTGCAAATTTTATTTTCGCTATTTAATAAGATATTAGAGAAGTTAGCAAAAAAGACACCCCTGTAGCTAATAAATTAAGATTTTATGCATAAAATATTGCATTAAATGATTTGACAACTAAATCCTTTTAGAAAGAAACATTATAAGTTTATTGTAAAAAAAAAATATGAGTTTTTTATATTTTTAAAAAATTATAGAAAGTAGATTAGAAAAAGAAAATTAATAAGATTAAGAAAACTCTAAAGATTTATAATAACATTAAAAATGAAATATTTAAAAAAAAAAACATTAACAAATTAATATTTTTTTTTTTTTAAATAAAAAATATGGCAAATATGTAAAAATTATATTTAATTTAGTATATAGTATAAATATATTTTTTGTAAATAAAATGTATATTATTAGAAATTTAGTTTATATATATAAATAATATATATAAATATCTTAATTTATAAATTATAATTAAAAATTTCTGTTATTATATTTTTTTAATATTTTCTTATTATAATAAATAAAATTAAAAAGTACTATTGTATTGAAAAAAAAAATACTCATATATAATTGTTTTAATTAATTTATTAATTTTAATTACTTTACATAAAAAATAATTAAAATTGTTTATTTATTATATTATTTTGCTATAAAAAGAAAATATAAAAGGATAAAAATATTATATGTTTTTATAAAAATTAATTATTTAAAATACATAAAAATATATTTATTAAATTATAATAGATAAAAATATTTAATTTTATTAATAAAATAACAAATAATATTTAATAAATATAAATTTAGTAAAATTATCTATATAACTTAAATTCTTCAGAAGTTATCAAAAGGATCGTTTCCATGTTTTCCTACTTATCTTCCATCGTTTTCAAGGACAGGATCTATTTTTATAAAAAAATATTTTTAAATAATAATAAAAAGCAAAATAAATTTACTCATTTATGTAAAGTCTTTATCAAAGTTATTTAACCATCCTTCGTCAGTAACATTAGGGATAAATGGTGGCTATAATTTCTTTTATAATAAAAGATTCCAATCAATATCTTTAAACCAGGGATGTGCTTAGATTTCAGCTAAATCATTTTTTGCGCCAATTCTTTATTTTCTGTCTCTATTTAAGCACTTTTTAATTTAATTAATATATTATATGTATTTGATTTAAAATATAAAATACTCTAATAATGAAATCTTTAGCTTCATTTGTAGAACCAGGTTTTTCAGGGAATCTCAATTCACCTTCTTTAATTAATTTAAACATAGTAGATTATTATTTATTATAGAAAGGTGGTAAACCAAACATCATTTCATATCTAATAATAATAATAAATAATGTTTAATTAAATAAATAAATAATTTACGTTAAAATTCCTAAAGACCACCAATCAGTAGTATGATCACAACCGTGTCCCAAGATAACTTCAGGCGATAAATATTCAGGAGTTCCACAAAAAGTCATAGCTAATTCATTTTGTTTGACCATTTTAGCCATACCAAAATCAGAGACATAGACATTACCAAAATCGTCCATTAATACATTTTCTAGTTTCAAATCTCTATAGATAATATTTTTTGAGTGTAAATGTCCAATACCTAAAGAAAGTTATGCAGCATAAAATTTAGCTCTTTTTTCTTCAAATCTTCTAGATATTCTTAAATGTTAGAAAAGTTCTCCACCCTCTATATTATTATTTTTTTAAATTAAAGAAATTATTATTATTTGTTTTACTCATAAATTGCATAACGAAAAACAAACGAGAAGGATCTTGAAACGCATATACTAAATTTACCAAATATGGATGATTAACATGCTCTAATACCATTTTTTCTGTTTTTGTATGTTCGAATTATCCTTTATCTAAAATTACGTCCTTTTTTATTACTTTCATAGCCATCCATTCACCTTTTTTTTATGTAACACAAATAAGAATATATTTTAATAATTTAAATTACCTGTTTTCTTTTCTTCGACTAAAAGCACAGTTCCAAAAGCACCTGCTCCTAGGACTTTTAAAGTATTGAAATCATCTAAATTGACTTATCTTCCTTTTTCTCTTGACCAAAGAGTAGAAGTTCTTTTTTTATATCAGTATAATTATCAGCTTAAACATCCATCATTTATTTCAAAGATTATATATCCATGAGCTTTTTTATAATTTAAGTTTTTAAAATATAAATTTTATAAGTATTACTTTTGGTTCTTCAGTTGGCATTCTTACGACTTTCTTTTTCTTATCAGTTTTAGTTGTTGCATAATTAAAAAGACTAACATCTTCCTATTTATTTTGAAAATAATTTTTAATTGATATAAATTTTAAAATACTTTAAAGAAGCAAGACATTTTTTTATTACAGCGAAGATTAAAGGCTTTAACAATATTACTGATAATTTTGTCACGTCTATTTTTTTATTAATATAATTAAAAAAAAAATTATTATATTTACTTATCATTAGAAGCATATCGATAATCATACTCTTCAGGTACATGTACTACGAACTCAGTTCCTAAAGTACTTATAGTAAGTGCTTAAATTTTATTCATGTCAATTTTTCTTTTAATAGCTTAAAATTATATTATAAATAAAAATATAGATGTATAAATATATAAATATATAAATATATATATATATAAATATATATTTATAATATATATTTATATTTGTTTTATCATTTATATTTATATTCTATTTTTACATAAACCATCAAGATTATATATTGCATGTGTCGATACCAAAAAGTTTCTTTCTTATCTTTTTTTGTAATCATTAAATTTGAATATAGAACAACTCATTAGAACTTTTTCTATATAAAATATAAGTTAAAAATATATTATAAATGAATAAATAAACAAAAAACAAGAACGTATATATAAAAAACATTATAAATATTAAATTATTATATATTTTTTATTATTTGACATTGATTATATTTTATTTTTATTACCTCCTTAGTCTAGTTGTTTTACTATATTTTTCTCATTAGATAGGTTTAATTCGTCTAAATTTTCTCCTTACATTTTTCTTTTTTTTTATTTTTTGGTTTTATTTTATATATTATTATTTATGTATTTTTTGTATATTTTTATAATCTTAATTATATAATATATAGAGATGAGAATTAATGCTTAAATAAAAAATTTAATAAAATAATTTATTTAAAAATTTTATTTTAAAATTAAGTGTCGATTTTACCAATTATTTATACACTTTAATATTTAATTTATATTTAAATAAAAAATCATGTTAAAAAGAATAAAATTTTTATTTATGATATAAATTATTTATTAATAAATAAAATTTTTTTTTTTGTGATTTTTATTTAATGAAAATATTAAACAAAAATCAAAATTTTATAATTAATCTTTAAATAATAATAAATTATTATTTTTTCCTTTAAATTTTATATTATGATTAAATATACATTATAATGTGGAATAATGCTTTTATTTTTTTATAAAATTATCTTATTAATTCATATAAATTTAATATACAAAAAATTATATTATTTTAAAATAAGTATTTGTTTAAAATTAAATATAAAGAATAAATTAATTTCTGTTTAATGCAAATATAATTATTAAAAATTATAAATAAACTTATAAATTAAGGTTAAATTTATTACAAATTTCCAAAAATATAATAAAATAACTAACGTGATAAATATATTAATTTTATATTAAATAAATAAAATCGTATTAAATAAGTTATTAAAATATTTTAATTTATATTTATTTACTTGATATTAAAAAATAATACCATAAATATTTAAACAAAAAATAATTTCAAATGATGTAAATAGTACATCTTGTTTCATAAAAATTTAATTGTTGAATATATTTTTATAAAATACAAAACTTTTTATTAGGATAAAAAAGATATATATATATATATATAATGTTATTTCATTTTTTCTTGTATATCCAAAGCCATTGCCTATAGGAATTTTTTCACTATAAATGCCAATGTGAAAATCACCGCATTATGCAGTATGAATTATTATCGTAGACAATTTGGCTCACTTTTGCAAGGGTGTGGAAACTGCAAAAAACCACACCGAGTTAATTTTCCGCTTCACGCATGCGCTTTTTTTTAAGAGATTTGCTAATTTTTAAATGATATAAAATAAAAATAAAAAAATGAAACATTATAAAAATATACAAATTCAACTAATATATAAACATAATTTAAAATAGATATTTTATTAAAATAAAAAATTAGGAATCATTTTCCTTATTATTATTTATCAGAAAATTAACCCAAAACCTAAAAAACACTTCTTCCATTTTAGAACAAAACATTTTTAATATTATTATTTACCTAAATATTTTCCCTTAAAAGTACCAAAGTTCCGAATTTCGAATTATTATCTTTAATATATAATTCCTTACTACCAGGATAAAATTTTAAAGTAGCATGAATTCTTGAAACAGATAAATCATTAATTATAATATCAGAATGATGAGATCTTCCAATAGTATAAGTATCCTGATTATTAATTCTTATTAAATATATTCCTCCGTTTCCATTTTTAGAATAATAATCAAATATAATAAAATTCTATTTGTTTTCTTATTCATAAAGGTTTTTGAATAAATCATATATTTTATCTTTCAAATCAAATTAGAAGGGATACTTACTTTTACATAATTCACATTCTAAACATTTTGAAGGTATATATTTTACATTTTTGTTATTCATATGATTGTGTATTTATTCTTGTATTTTTACTTTTCTTTATATCCAATATTAAAGGCATTCTAGATGAACATATTGCATACTACCAGAACATTCGCAAGGGTTAATTAAAGGATTTTCAGATTCTTCGAATTCACTAAGACATATTTTACAAATATTTGGACATTTAGATTTCTAAATAGATTCATTTTGTTAAATTGAACTTACTGAATTATCATTTTCTTCAGTTTTTAAAGTATGGAAAGATTCATTTTCTTATTGTAAGATTTCGTTTATTTTGCTTTTAATAGGTTATTATAATTATTATAATACATTCTATTTTTTTTTATTTTTTTAAATATTAAATAAATATTATGTTTTCTTTACTTGTTTCAAATTTCTTCCATTTTCACAAGTTTTTAATATTCTAAATTGAGATCGTCCTAGTTTGATATAATCATCTTGCATTAATAAAAATTCGTTTTGTTTTTCAGAGTTTTCTACACTTTTTGTTACTATCCATATGCTTTTTTCGAAAGGTTTTTTTTCTTAATTTAATGTTTGCTATATCTAATATTTTCCATTTATTTATTTTATACAAAAGTTATCCTTTTGTTCTGTATTTAAATTATTTTAGGAATCCTCTATTGATACTTTTTATTGCATTTAGTTTCTATTTACCTCTATTTCGCATGATTAATTTATTTTCAATTAGTATTAAATATAATCTTTTGATTCATAATCAAATAATTAATTTGATTATACATTCCAAATTTTAGCTTGTAATAATATATATTAGTTTTATGCTTGATTATCATATTTTAAAGATGAAAACTAATTTTCGTTTAAATTATATATATTAGCTCCGCATAGAACTAATTGCTTTTTCTATTATGGAAGAAAATACTTATTTTAATCTTCTTTTGTTTACGTTTATGTTGAACAAAATAATAATTTATTTCCCATCTTATTGTTTTTTTACTAATTTTGTTTTTTTTTTTTTTTTTTAATTATTAAAATATAATTTAATAAAAATTTCCTTATAAATTTAAATATTTTTATTTCTTCTATTTTTTAAAATAAATCGAATTCATAATTTTGCTAGTTTCTACATATCTATAATAGATTTAGAATTATTAATTATGCTTTACTTTTGTATTTTATTATGTAAATTTCTAAATTTAGTAAGCCTTTAATTAGATGATTACCATATATATTTAATTTTATCAATAATTAAATAAATATAAATTAATTTTTATATATATATATATATATATAAATTATAATATAAAGCATATTATAATTTTATTTATTAATTAATATTAATTTTTCAAATATATCAATAATATTTAAAATATAATATTAATATATTATATTTAATTTTTATTCATATTTTAATTATTATTGTTATTATTATTGTTTCAATATTTATTATATTATTTATAATTTTTTAATGATTTAATATTTATAATAAGTATACCATTTTATTAAAAAAAAAAATAATACGAAAAAAGCTAAATTAAACTGAAGAATGAAATTAAAATAATAGAAATTTTAAATAAAAGTAAAGGAAAATAAATTATATATTTTATTAAAAATTTTATAATTTATTTTTATTTTTAAATAAATAGTTAAATTATGTTTAATACAAATTTTATAATAATTAAAAAATCAAAATTAAGATAAAAAAACTACAATTGTTAATATGAAAAATAAAAAATTAGAGTACTCAAAATCTAAAATAGATTTAAATATTACATATATTGATTGGTAAAGTAAATTCGCTCGTTATTTTTATGATTAATACGAAGTAGATTTTATGGAATTTATATAAACAATACCAACAACTGAATAAATTTAAAATTCGGCAAGAGAAAGAAGATAATTATAATATCCTTAAATATATTTTTTTATGTAAGGATTATATTATGAATTTGGCACAAAGAAAATAAATATAAATATGGAAAAAGCACTATAAGCATATAAATAAGGATTTTAGTACAATTAAGATGCATTATGTGCATATAGATTAGCATAATTACATTCTTAAAAATAAAATTTATTAAAACTACAAGTAAAAAATTAAAAAATTTAAAAAATATAATATTTATATAAAAAAAGATAAATAAAGAAAAAGCTTTATTTTTTTTACTTTCATCTGCTACCCTTCTGAATATTCAATACAGTCCTAAAATAATAAACATAATTCCTGATATAAAAAGGATACTTTATGTATATTAAGATGGGTTAAATATATACGGATAATTAATGTAAAAGTATGGAAGTGAATATATATAAGATTTAAAAACTTAAAATTATTTATAATTATTATTCAAAGAATAATATTGTGAAAAAGAAGAATATTTATAAAGTGCAAATTAGTTTTTGAATGAATTCGAAATTGAAAATGAACATTAATTTATTTTACTTTTTGAGTTTTTAATAAAAAAAAGTTTAAATCCAAACTTAAATGTAGAAAATATAATTAAGAAATTATAAAAAGTAAGAATTGAAATTATAGAAAGTGCAATTTAGCTTATGGATAAAAATGTTAATTTGTATTATAAAGACTATTTATAATCTTAAGATTTATTTTATTTAGGTTTTAAAAAACTTTTCTTTGAAATTTATTTCTTTTTGAAAACTTATTTTAGGAAAATCCTAAATAGTAAGACTTGGAATTAAATTTTTAGAATTAATTAATTAATCAATAATAGCTAAACTGAAGATAAATAAATAAAAATATTATCAATAAGAATAAAAAGTGAAATGTATGAAAAAGGACTATATGAGTAAAAAATCGATTTTTAAAAAGCCTTAGATGCTATAAGCCAAGAGTTTTCTTTAGAATTTTAGGATAATAATTTTTATGCTTATACAAATTTTTAAACTGCTAATCTTAAATAAAAATTAAAATATGATAAGTAAAATTTATATGTCACATTATTTTATTTATATTTTTAAAAAAATATATAGTAAATAGTTTGATAGATAATTTTAAACAAGTTATGATTAATTTTAGGAAAGAATTAATAAATCGATATAGAGTCCTTAAGATTATTTGTTTTCAATTTATTATTTAATAAGGATTATGCAAAAATCTGATAAGAAGTTTACTCATGAAGATATATAATAAAATATAGATTAGGCCTATGAATATTATAATAAAAACTAAAATTATTTTAATAATACAAAAACCTTATAATTAATAATTTTGAAGGAAAAATTAGAAAGACAAATAAATAAAAATTCAATTTAAAAGACATTATTAAAATAATTTTAATCAGAATTAGATAAAATATAATCAAACTAAAATATAAAAATCATAGATTTTTCTAAAATAATAATATTGTAATAAATAAACTAAAATTTAATATCAAATTATGAAGCAATTTTATTAAATGATGAAAAAGAATTAAATAGTTCTTAATAAAATTAAACCGAAAAAGATTTTTCAGTATTTTCATGTTATTAAAAATAAAAGGATTTAATAAAATAATATTAAAATAAAGGAAAACCAATTATGCTAAAAAAAATTTCCGTATCTAATTAAAACACATTTTAGTAAATAATCTAATAAATTTAATAATAAGAAAAGCATAAAGGACTTTAAACAGTAAAAATATCACATATAAGTTATTAAATAAGTTAACACAATAAAATAGAATTATATTTGGTTTAAAACTTTTATTAATAAGATTTATTTAACGTAATAACATCAACTGAACTATATGATTTGAAAGACAAACTTTAATTCTCTATTTAAATATGTGAAACTGTTCAAAATTTATTATAAAATAATATAAACGGTTTCTATTTAGAACCTTCAAAAATCCTATTTTAAAATAAAAATAAAGCTTTATGTGATATCATTTCTATTTTTAATCAAGATATTAATCATAATGATAATATATGTTATGATTTTAAAGCGCCTGAAATTATTATTTAAACTTAAAATAATTTTGTTACGCTTAATAATGAAAGTTATATTTGGAATTTAGGAATGATTTTGTTATATGTTTTTTTTACTATTGATATAAAATAAAGTAATATTTTAATTTAAAATAAGTAAAATTATTAAATTAATACCTCGTTTTTTGGCAATAATATGTATTTGGAATAAATTAAAGAAGTTATTGAAAATATGCTTAAATATATTCCTTCATAAAGATTTTCATTTAAAATGGTTGTTTAAGAACTGTCAAAAATATAAGATAATTTCGATTATTAAATAAAATCATCAGTAGAAAAAAGTTATGCTTCATTAAATTCCAAAATTGAAGAACACTAAAGTAGATTTTTATTATCATGAAAATTTATATTTAATAATATAATAATGAGATTATATTTATTTAATTATATTTATTATAATTTTGATCTAAAAATATATTTTTATTAAATAATATTAAAAATGTATATAATAAAGATGATATAAAAATATTTTATATATACTAAAAATTTTTATAATATAAAAGATAGTCTTATAATAAATATAAAGAAAAAATATTAGATTGATAAAATAAAATAAATATATAAATAAAAAAATATAAAATAAAAATAATAAAGATATTAATAAATAATTATATAATTATATAAATATTTAAATATATATATATATATTAAAATATATATATTATTTATATACTTTATTTTTATTTTTTATATATTTTTTAATATATATTTTTACATTTTTTAAAATATCTATATTTTTTTATATTACTTGTTATTTAATATTTGAATTCTTGTTTTTTTATTTTTTAATTTTTATTTATAAATATATTTTTTTTCTTATATATAGGTTTTATTTTATGTTTCAATATATTATAAATATAATTTTTTTTTTATATATATATGTTTTTATATTTTAGAAATTTTATATTATTTTTTATTTTTAATATTTTTATTCATTTTTTTTAATAACATTTAATATATATATATATATATATATATATATATATATAAATATTTTAATAATATATATTTTTTTTTATTTCATTATTTGATTCATTATATAAATTATAATCAATAATTACTTATTCATTAGCAATAAATTAATATATTTATATTTTAATTAATTTTTTTTTATTTTTATTTTTATTTTATATTGATTTATGTAATTTTTTATATTATTTACTTGTTTTATTTTTATTTATTTTCTGTCTAATTAACATATATTAATATTGAATATTTTTTTTTATATATTAAGTATAATTTTTATAATCTAATTTATTCTTATTAATATCTAAATTCGAAATATATTTTAACGATTTATTTATCTTACAATTAATATTAACTAGATATCTTTGATATTTTCGAGAATTATTTATTCTTTATTTGGTTAAATTCTTTTTTAGATAATTCAAGACACTATAGACTTAATTTTATTATACTATTGTATATTTTTTTATTTTTTTTATAAATTAAATAACAATAGTTTTATTAATTAGAATTTAAATAGAAAGTTTATAAGAATATATAATATTTATTATTTATATAAAATTATTTAAATATGATTTTTGTTTAAAAAAAATTCATAATTATATTTCTTTTTATTATATTTTATTTATTAAATTTTCTACAGATATTAAAAATATTCCATACACTAATTTATTATAAAATATATTTGTAATAGGCAATACTAATCCGTGTAAATGTAGATGATCTATACTATTATTAGGAGGTTAATGAAAACCAAACCTATATTAATTATTAGGATGGGAATTTTATAGTATTTAATTCCCTGTTTATTTTAGTTTTTTTATCAATTATATATCACATATTTATAAGTATTTTGTATTTTTAATATGCTTTTTAGGACAAATTAAGATATGCCTTTAAGAAGAACAATTTTTTATATCTTCAAATGCAAAAACATCATCATCTTGATATAAAATAGCTTTATTTTCATCAAGTATTTTGCAAAAAATACATTCTTAATCATTTTTATGATGTTAGTTTCCCATTTATGTAATTTTTTATAAAATATTATTACCTTTACAAAAATTAATTGTTTCCTTTTACAAAAATATAAAAAGCAAAATAATTCAAAATAATATCTTAAAAAATACAAAAGAAAAAAAATAATTAAGCTCGTTCTTATTAATAATTTTTAATTAATTATTTATTTTTAGACATAAAAATCAATATTTCATTTAACTATTCTAATAATTCACAAACTTAAATACAATTCTCCCCATTCAATATCTTAATTATTTATGTATTTAATTTTTTATTAAAATTTATGATTCTATTTTTCTAAAAATTAATCAACTAGTTAATATTTTAGGATGTCATCTTGGTTAAAGGATTATTTAGAATTTATATAAAATCATAATTTTTTCGCAATATTTATTTTTTATTTAAAATTATAAGAAGAATTTTATATTTAGAAGTTATCCCCAGATATCAACTTTTTAATTAATTAAATCTCTTGAAAAAACAATATAAATATACAGCCGTGGTAAATTTTATAAAATTGATTTTTTTCAAATATTTCTTCTTTAGATGAACAAATCTTTTTATTAAAATGAGCTTTTTTTTTATATATTTTTATTCAAAATTCTTTACAAATATATTTTACTTTAAATCTGTTATATCTATAGTCACAGAAATAAAATTAATTATAAGTACTATTAAAATTTAATAAGATTTCTTCTATTTTTATATGTCTATGCTCCTTATTTAATGTATGAAGTATTTACAATTTTTAGCATATTTATATTATTTCATATCTTTTTAAGTTTTAATCATTTTTTCTACAACATTAAATCATATAATGTTTATTCTTTGTAATATTCCATTAAAAGAACTCCATAATACAAATTATTGTTTACTTTAAAATATCTCAATTAAAAATTTCAGTATATATGCTTTTGGTAAATTTTACTTTTTTATATAAGTATAATTAATTTTTTTTGAATAAAAAATGCCAATATTTCTATTTTTTATTAAAAAATATTTATTTTTTTACCTTTTTTAATTTTTTTGTATTTGATTTTCTTTTTTTTTTTGTATTTGATTTTCATTTTTTTTTAATAATTTAAATAAAGTATGGAAAATTTCTTGTACACTAAATAATAAAAATTTCTTTTACACTAAATAATAAATACTTTACAAGTAACCCTAAAGATTGTAAATTTTTCATTCTATAAGTAGTTATCTATCACTAACGAAATATAACCATAACCTTTTTAAAAAGATATTCTTTATTACTTATATCTTTGTATAAACATTTTTTGTTTTCTCACTAATTCTATAATTATATATTTAATAACTTAATCGTTTCATGTTCCCATTCTTCTTATTAATTACTATATGAATATTATTTTAAATGTTTATTAAAATAAAATAATATTTTAAGGAGAAAAATACGATAAAACTATATAAAATAAATTCATGAAGACTTTACTGAAATATTAATTTTTATACAAAAAAAATTCATTAATATCTATTTTTTAAAAATAAATAATATGAATATAGCAAAATCATATTTTTATTAAATAAAATGTATATCAATATCAAAATTTATTATTTAAAAAATTGAATTTATTATAATTTTTAACATATTTTCAAGCAAAAGTTATATAAATTGATATAGTAATATTTTAATAACTTCTCATTATTTAAAATTTAAAATTTTGAGTATTATATATTAATAAATAAATGATTGATAATTAAGAATAAATGCAAAAAAATAAATTACATTTTTTAGTAACATAACTATAATGCTTTATTTTCTCAATTATAATAACAAAAATAATTAAAGAAAATAATTAGAATATAAGCATATTTTTAGTATATACATACCCTACTATCTTCTTATATATGTATATATAATATTATTTCATATGGAATACTAATAAGAAGATACAAAATAAATTAATTATTTCAAGTATTTTACTATTCTCAATAACTTTAATAATAATCTTTTATATTTATTTAGAAATATGTTAAAATTTTTTAAAGTAAGAATTTTAAAAAATAGATAATTGTTAAATTATAGGCAAAAAAGTTATTTAATTTTCAAAAAAAGAAATATATTCGATTCTTTATGTATAGTTTTAAAACTTAAAAGGAGAAAATAAAATAGGAATTTCTTGTGAAACTAATCAATATCACTCTTTAAATATTAATAGTCTAATTTAAAAGCATTATGCATTTTCAGTATTTGAAAATAAAATTAAAATTTAAAAGTAAAAAAATCATTTATATTATATTTTTATTAATAAAAAGCACAATTAAATTACCATTATGGTATTGTATATAATATAAACCTAAATTTTATTAATATTAAGATTTTTAAAATTATTCTCAACCTAAAAAATGTTATTAGGCTAATTTTACAAATTAAATTTAAAACTACTTTGAATAAATCAATGATTTTCCTATAATATTATTTGAATATCCAGTATATTTTCCTGAATTATTTTTATTTCTTATATCTGCTTTATTATATTATCCATTTTTAATTTCAATAAATGGATTATTTTAATTTTCATCGAATAAAATTATTAAAAAATTTGAAAAAACATGCATTTTTAAAATGATATTTAAATAAACTATGAGTAAATCTGAAAAATTAAATTATTCTATTTAAACAAATTAAATTTAAGTTAAAGATAATTAAGAAATAATAAATATAGAAAACAAATGAAAACTATAAATTACAATTTTTTATTTATAATTTATTTTCTTCTTTATATTTTCATAAAGTTAAAAAATTAATTTTGAAATTTTAACAGTAGCTTTTTTATTTTATTTGTTATATTTATAATCCTATAATTTTTTTGTTTTAAAAGTATTTAGCTTTTGTAAACCTTAAAATAGGTATTTTTCTAAAAAAAATAGGAAATTTTAAGATAATTTTTATAAAAATAAATATTTTGATTTTTTCAATAATAAATATTTCATTTTTAATCTATAAATTATATATAAAGGGTTTATTGTTTTTATAATGAATTATCACAAAAATATACCCACCATTTTTTAATTTTATTTTATTTATTTTTTATTTGATTTAAAGTAAAAAATCAAAATTTATTTATCATACAAAAAAATATTTTTCTAAAAAAGATATTTTTAATTATTAAATTAAAAAAGAATATATTCAAAATTAATATTATTAAAAACTTAAAACATATACAAATATAAATTTTGGTTTTAAACTATTTATGAATTTATAATTATAATTAAATGATTAGAAAAGCCAATATTAACTAAAGGAAAAACTAGAGTAATACCAATATTAATCCAATAGAAAAATTATAACCAAATTTTTATTTATTTACTAAATATAGTGAAATATTTGATAAGTTTCTATAAAATAAAGATTATAATATTTTAGAAGAATTCAATACTATTGATTAATTTTTAAATTAGCTTAATGTAGATAAAAACGTAATAAAAATATAAAATTACTTCAATTAATCTATAAATCAGGTTGGATTAGATAATTAAAATTATAGCGATTTATCTTAAAGAAGAATAGTGTATTATAATATTAAATTTAATTATTAATTAAAATAAAATAAAAAAGTTATTAATAAATAGAAGACCAAGTAAAGTATTCAAAACCATATATTAAATATGTAAGAAGATATTATATTAAATTAAATTAAATAAAAAAATCAAAATTATTATTATAAATTAATATAATTATTAATTATTAAAATATTAAAGATAACAGAATAATTTGATGATTTTATGCTGAAATGTTTATTTTTTATTGCTTTATTTTCAATATTTATAGGTATAATAGATGACGGCATAGAAAAAGTAAAAAAAAAAATATATATTAAAAAAATACACATTAAATAAAATAAATATTAATAAAATACACATTGAAAAATATACATAAAAAAGGGCTGGATAGAAGGATTTTCGATAATTTTTTCATTAATTATCATTATATAAATATAATCATATTCAAATTATACAAATTCGAAACAATTTGAAATATTAAATTAATAAATATAATAATCGGAACACGAAACTAAAAGAAACGGACATATTCAAATAATAAATATAAAATAATGGGTTGTAGGTGATATAATTTAAATATATCCAGGTGCAATTCCAAAAGCTGATGGAATAATAATAAACGAAACTACAGAAATTTAAGTAAATGAATCTTCTCTTACTGGTGAATAAGAATCTGCTTCTAAAAAACTAGGTTAATGTTTATTTGAAGGATGTCCTATTCTTGATGGATATGGAGAAATGGTTATTTGTAGGTTAGGAAAAAATACCATTAGAGGAAAGATTAGTGTACTTGTAAAAGAAGAAAACTAATTAATGACACCTCTTTAATAAAAACTTGAAATTTTGGCTTCATAAATAGGAAAATATGGAGTAATTGCTTCCGTACTTACTTTTCTTGTTTTATTTTTTAGTCTTATTTATAAGTCTTATATTGGCTTATAATGCTTTTGGTGCTTGGATTTCTTTTAGAATATTGTCAGGAACTTTATTGTGAGTTTAAGTATTATTGTTATGGCAGTTCCGGAAGGGTTACCTTTATGTATTACACTTTCTTTGGCTTATTCAGTTAATATTATGTTTAGGGATTTTAATTTAGTTAAAAAGTTATCAGGTATTTTTTTGTTTGTTTAAATAAACAAAAAAAAATAGCTTGTGAGGTTATGGGAGCTGTGACTGATGTTTGTAGTGATAAAACAGGAACTATTACTACTGGAACTATGAATTTATAAAGAATTATTGTTGATGAAAATATTATTGAAGAAAATTAATTATAGGATGGAGCTTTAAAAAATATTATGATTAATATGTATTATATTCTTTTAAATTTTTATATATTCTTTTTTTTAAAAAAAGAATTAAATATACTTCTAAAGCTATAATAGATAAAGGAGAAAATGGCGAAATTGTACAAAAAGGAAATTTAACAGAAATAGGTTTATTAAAATGGATAATGAAAGAAAAAGATATAAAACAAATAAAAAATATAGAAGTAAAAAAATTATATATGTACATATTTATAAAATAGAAATAAAATAGGTTTTAAAAGAATTTCCATTCACATCTATTACAAGATATAGTGCATCTATAGTAAAGCAAGAAAACAAAGCAATCATATATTTAAAAGGATTACCCACATTAATAGAAAAATGTTCCCAAATGTTAACTATTAAAGGTGAAATTAAACCACTCTCTAATATAATTAAAGCGGAAATAAATTAAAAGATTGAATAAGAATGTTAAAAAGCCTTCCGAGTGCTCATTTTAGCCTATAAGCCAATAGAAAAAATAGAGGAAAATATTGAAATATTATAAGAATAAGACTATATATTGGTTACAGTATTATTTTTGAGAGATTAGATTCGACCAGAAGTAGCTTAGGCAGTTTAATAATTGGCTTAAGCAGGAATTTGCACAAGAATGATTACTGGAGATAATAAATTAACTGCAAAGGCTATTGGGTAAGAAGTTAATATAATTCCTTCTATTTTAACGGAAGAAGATGATGATTTAATTATTACAGGTAACTAATTGGAAACTATGGAAAATGTTGATGATATTCTAAAATATAGAATTGTGGCAAGTTGTAATCCTTTTTAAAAACATAAGTTTGTGAAATTAATTTAGGACTAGAAAAAAATTGTCGCAGTTACAGGAGATGGGAATAATGATGCTTTATGTTTTAAAAGTGCAAATGTTTCATTTGCTATGGGAATTAAAGGAACTGAAATGGTTAAAGAAAATGCAGATATTATACTTTTGAATGATAATTTCGCATCTATTGTTACTTCTTGGTTTTTATTTTATATATATATATATATATGTTTATATTTATTTAGTTTATGGGGAAGAAATATTTATTAATCAGTAAGAAAATTTATCACATTTTAAATTACGGTAAATGTGGTGGCAATATTTATGACTTTTTTCGGAAGTTTGGCTTTGTAAGTAAGTCCATTTAATTCTTCTTAAATTTTATGGGTTAATTTAATTATGGATACATTTGCTAGTTTAGCTTTGGCAACTGATAAACCTATTCCTTTTTTGATGCAAAGAGGACCTTTTAGGGAAAATGAGAGAATTCTAAATGGAAATATTTTTAAAAATATTCTTTTTTAGGCAGTTTATTAGATTTGTATACTCATTTTTGTAGTTTTTGCAGCAGATGATATTTTCTAAATACCGGAATTCACTCATATGGATTCAGATGCATATAATCCTGAAATTGCAGTGCATATAACTATTTTTTTCCATACTTTTATATTATTATAGTTTTTTAATGAGTTAAATTGTAGAAATATTTCTGACAATTTAATTAATCCGTTTGAGAGGATTTTTGATAATTTTTATTTCTTAGGAGTTATGGTTATATAAGTAATTATTTAATATGTTTTAGTAGAATACGGAGGATAGGTTTTTGGATGCTCCCCTTTAAATTTTAATTAGCATGTTTTTTGTTTGTTTTTAGCAGCAGGGGGATTGGTTGTAGGAATATTAATTAAATTTATTAAAAAAGATAAAATTTAAGGTTATGTTAATTTCATTAGTTAAGAAGAAATCGATATTTTTTAGGCTAATAAATGTATTTTTTTTTTATATATTTTTTTCTTAAGGTTTTTTATTAAATAGAAAATAAGAGAAGTTCATTATGTAATGTTTTTACAAACAACAAAGACACTTTTAGTAATAATCACAATAGAGATATAAAAAAACAACTAGTTTGAAAATATAATATATATATATTAATATCTTGCATTTTTTAATTACTTGAATAAAAAAATAATTAAAAATATAAATATTAATTATAAAAATTAAAAAAAATAACATGAGTAAAAGTGATAATAAAAAAGCAGAAAAAATCGCTATTTAACATCAAAAACACGATCATAATGAAAAAATCGTCGTTGTTTAACAGCAATAACATGATTAAGGAGACTCAAATTTAAGGTATGCTGCATATTTACGTGCATTGGCTCGTTTAGCTAAATTTAAACGTTATTTAGCATTCACAAGTGATGTAGGAGAAGCTTTTAGACCAGTAGTTCACTCTAGAATGGTTAGTGGAGCATATGCTATATCTTGGCTTTATGTAATAGGAGATGTAGGCTATGAAATTAAAGATTAATATTAATAAGGAAAAAGAGGGGCTGAATTATATTGGTTAGCTTCAGAAAGAGCAGCCTTTTAAGTTGTTGCATCTATGGCATTACCGGCTTTAATTATTCATAGTTCAGTACATTAAGCAGTTAAATTTACGTAGAAAATTGGGAAATATTAAAAATGGCTACCATCAGCTGTTGGATTGGCAGTTATTCCATTATTACCAGTTTTATTAGATAAACCTTGCGAAGTAGGAATTGAATATGGATTTCATAGATTTAGATAATGGCTTAGGACTGGAGAAAATCACTAAGAGAATAAAAAGCATGATTGATATATATTTATATTTTTTATTTAATTATAATTTTCTTGTTTTGTATTGAATTTTCACTCTATTTTTTTTTTTCTTTTTTTATTATTATTACATAATATATGCAATTTTTTTTTATGTTATTACTATTTAAATAATTTTATTTTAGTTAAAAAATTAAATAGAAAAATAATAAATAAGAATATTTTGTATGTAATATAGAAATATTTCTACAGTTTTTAATTGAAGAAAAATAAAAAATTTTATGAATATTTTTTACATATTTTAACTCAAACAAAAACATAATAATTAAGCTTTATTTATAATTTTATAAATATTTTTAATTTATTAATTTAATCAATAATAAAAAATAAATTTTCTTCATAAACTTCTTTTTTTTTACATATTTTAATAGAAATTTTAATATTTAAGTAAAAACAAAAAATATAAATGAAATATAAATTATCAAATAGTTATATTAATTTATTAACAGATATTCTAAATATCGCCTTTAATGAACCTAAATTTCTTTAAATTTTTAACTTTTTAAGGTATTTCATCATTAATAACCCAAAGCTAACTTTTATCAGAAACATCATCTAAAGAATTCGAAAAAGGAAAAACATTCAATTTAGTTCCCATAATAATTACGCAATCAGCTTATTTTATTAAACTTCTCGATTTTTTAAAATCTTCAGGCAGTTTTTCACCAAATAAGACTATTTTTGGTTTAATATATCCCTAGCAATATATACATTAAGATATTTCGTTATTTAAGCATTTTTCTCTGAAAAATTATATAGGGTATTCTTTATTACATTAAATGCAATGGCTTTCTCGAATATGGCCATGAGCTTGTATTATTTTTTATTGAGGAATACCGACTTTTAATTCTAGTCCGTCTACATTTTGAGACATAGTAAGTAATAATTGGTTTTTTTAATATAGTTTATGGATGAATTTATGGGCGAATGTGGGAAAAATCTCGTTTTTGAAAAAAAACTGCATTATTTTGGTAAATGGAAGTGGATTTTATTTAAAATATTATATATTAAATATCTGTTGGGGATTTTCTATATTATATTCTTTCTATATTAAGGAATATAAACCGGTTTACGGGGTCCGAAAATCTGGAAGACCAGCCCCTACGCTTATTCCAGCTCCTGTAAGTAGTAATATATTTGAATATTTATGTTAAGAAAGTTATTTTATTAATAATTGAAGATTTTCTTACATTTATGTTTTTTTTTTTAAAAAAAAAAAACTAATAAATTTTTATTTTAATAAAAAATAAATAATTTTAAATAATAAAATATAGTAATAATAGAAATACTTACAATTAAGTAAAACAAATAAATAAATAAATAGCAAATAAATATAAAATTTATGTCAAAAGAATAAAGTTTAATATAGAAATAAATTGATTGGTAAAAAATATACACAATATTTCTACAAGTAATTAAAGACGATTTTGTATCCATAGAAGAAACCTTAGAAAACATGAAAAAAACATAAAAAAAAGTTAAAACTAGATCTTATAAATATCATAAAATTTACTAAAAGCCCCCGAAACCATAATTTTATTATTTAATTAGAGGTTTAATATTTGAGTTTGGTTTAAAACATTCTGACCAAAAGAAAGCAATAGATGTATATATTTAAGGCTTTGAGGAAAATCATGATCCTTTTTGTGCTTTAAGATTAGCAGAAATATATGGTAGTAATAAATAGAATAATGAACTGGCAATTTATTATATATTAATGTCATATATATTAAGTGAAACAATATATATAGATAAAAATAATTAAAATATAATGAATTCATATGGAAATTATAATTATATAGTTTAAAAATATAAATAAAAAGGTAAAGAATTAATTGATAAATATTCTAATGAAAATAAAATTTTACATTAATATATGTTTGAAATTTGCTTTGGAAATAATATTGAAAATATATATTTAAAGTTAATGAAGTTTTTTAAAAATAAAATTGAAGTTTATGAAGATCAATTCTAGATGATTTTTTTACTAAAAATCGTTTGCTTTTCTAAGAAAATTAAAGATAAAAAAATACGGGATTTAATCGAAATTATTAAGTTGGCGTCTAAAAAATGCTTAAATGCAGTTTTGGACATTTTTTAATGCGAAATGGAAATTTTAAGTAAAGAAAAAGGGTTTAGTTAATCGATTTTTTTTATTAATATTTAAATTTTATATGTTGAATTTTATATTTTATCATGCTCTTTTATTAGTAATTGGAAGAGAATTGAGAAAATGGAAGAATTATGTGAAAATATGATATCAATAAATAGGAATAATACGTTTTTATTGAGAATCAAAATGTAGTTTTGTGAAAAAAATAAAGAATATGAAAAAGCTTTGGAAAATATTAATTTAGATTTAAATTTAAAGAAATAACATTAATATTTTCATGGATTTTCGCATTATCATTCGGCTAAAATAAAAAAGAAAATTAATAAATTCGAAGAAAAAGACATTAATGAATAGTTTTTAATAGCAGAGAAGTTATTTAAAGAAAGATTTGAATAAAATAATGATTGCTTAAATTAATTTATTTGCTATTATTATTTTGGGAGGATTTCTTAGAAATTTTATGGTGATAACTTAAAAGGGTCGGAGTTTTTTAAACAAGCTTTGAATATTTATATTTAGAATTTGTAGTTTTTTAAAAATGTAAAGACTTTTTAATTTGAATAGTATTTTTAGAAAATTAATAAAAAAATTTAAAAATTAAATCCAGTTGAAGAAGTTTAAGAAAAAATAAAGTAAATCAAAAAAAATATAAATATTTTTTAGGAAAGGCTTTAAATTTTAGAAAGTTAATTTATTTTTTATTCTTCAAATTAATTTTTAATTTAAAATTTGCTATTTATAGATAAGAATTTTACGTGTAGTGAAGGAGTTCTTTTAAATAAAAATTAATTAAATAATTATATTTTTACAAGCTAGAAATATTTTAATTCTTTTGCTAACTCTTAATAAAAAAATTCTTCTGAATGTAAAGAATATTTGAAAGTTTATGAAGGAATAAAAGTTTTTATTAAATAAACAATAATAACTGAAGAAAAAAAATTAAAAGATCTTTTCGAAAAATCTATTAAAAATGATATTAATTCTCGACTAGGATATTCTTATTATTTTCTGAATGAAAATACTATATAGTTTTTTATTTTTTACCCTTTTCAATAGTTTAATTTACATTCGATTATCAAAAGTTAAAAATTTGATGATTTTTAACAAAAACTTCAGATTGCCTTGAAAATTTGTAATAATATTCTAAATTTACATACGAAAAATATACAAAATATAAACATTAAACCAGAAAATATAATGTTTGATGATAAAATGAATCCATATTTTTATGGATGGGATGCTATATATAATAGTCTTCATAGTTTAAATGATTTTGGAGAAGAAAATGTTGAAGATGATAATTTTATTATTGATTTTTTTGTAGAGAATAAGTTAAATTTTTCTTAGTTTTCCTAAAAAACTTTAATGAGGAAATCTGATATTTTCAATTTAGGAATGGTATATAATTATTTGTTTTTTCGAAATTACTCAAATCTTATTTAGGATGATTATGATTAAATTAATGAAGATTTAAGAAATAAATAAATCAGAAAGTTAATTCAATTAATGCTATAAAATAATACCGAAAATATTATTTCTATTGATAGAATATAAAATTAATTATTAAGTATGATTAAAGTTTCTATTTACTGAGTTATATTTTTTATATAAATAAAATAAAAATTATTTTTATATTGTAAATATACCTTAATATATAAATATATATATTTATTGTTAAATAAATATTTTTCAAAATAAATAAAATATTATGAATTCAAATTAATTATTATTTTTATTTTAAAAATAAATAAATATTAAATAAAAAAACTAATAAAAACATAATCAATGTCTTCCTTAAGGTAAATCTTCTTATTAAGGTGAAAGTTTAATCATATCATCAATTCTAAGGATTGTAATAGCAGCTTCAGTGGCAAATCTAATAGCTTTAATTTTGGAGACCATAGGTTCTAAAACTCCTGCTTTGACATTATTTCTAACTTTTCCAAGTATTAAATCTAATCCGCAGTTTTTCAATTCTTTCTTAGCTGGATCGTCTGAAGTCTATGATGCGCAATGTAAAGCTCTTAATTTAGAAAGCAATTCAGTTGCATCTTAAGCAGCATTATTGGCTAAAACTTTAGGGATGATATTTAGGGCTTCACAGAATTCTGCTACTGCATTTTATTCTTTAGTTCCTAAAGTTCTTGCAAAATCTTCTAATTTTACACTCAAAGCGACTTCTACAGCGCCACCACCAGCTACTACATATCCGCTTTCGAGAGTTCTTTTGACTACACAGAGGGAGTCGTGGATTGATCTGTCGACTTCATCAATCATGAATTCATTAGCCCCTCTAATAACTATAGAAGCGCAGTTACTTTTTTTCATTCCTTTGAAGAATACACAGTCGTTATCTCCTACGGCCTCTTCGTAAACTTCCTCACATTCGCCCAAAAAAGCTTCTTCGAATACTTCATCACCTTCAGGGGTGGCTAAAGTAGTCACTACTTATCCACCAGAGGCTTTGGCGATTCTTCTTAAATCTTATTTATCTACTCTTCTAAGACCCAAAACTCCGGCTTCGACTAAATATTTAGTAGCAACATCGTCCATTCCACCTGTAGTGAGGATAACATTAGCACCAGCTTTAATGATTTTTTCACATCTTTCTTTTAATATTTCACATTCTTTGAATCTGATCTTTTCAAGGTTTTTAGGGTCGTTTACTAATACTTAGATACCCATTTGTAACCTGAATTTGTTCAAGTTAAAGTCTAATAAAGCTATACGAGCTTTTTTGACTTAAGTTTTCATTTGTTAACAGGATCTTTATGTTTGTAATATGTAACCTCTTGTAAGGGCAGATTGTAAACTGCTTTGACCATGGACTTTTATTATTTTAACGTTTTTTATAGGATATTTAGATTCTCCTAATAAGTTAGTCATTTTTACCTTTAAGATTAATTTATTTTTATAGTTAAAAAAAATATATAGACTATTTTACGGCTTCAACAGCTTCAACTACTATTTTGGCAAAATGTTCAGAATCAGGGCCTATTAATTTAGATGACATGGAAGTTTTGGCAGCGTTTACAAGAGCTTCAGGTCCTAATGAGGAAACAGAAATGGCTAAATGATCTTTTATGTATGCACAAGCTTCCTTTGCAGCGATTTTATAACCGGAAATAATATTTGTAGGATGCACTTTGTTTTTAATTAATTCATTAGCTCTTTTTAATAATTCGGCAGCTAAAATTACAACTGATGTGGTTCCATCTCCTACTTCTTTATCTTATAATTAAGATAGTTCGACTATTACTTTAGCAGCAGGATGTTATACCTCGAGTTAACGAAGGATTGTAGCACCTTTATTTTTTTAATATAAATTATATATTTATTATTAAGATTATTATTTTTTTACCATCATTTGTTATAGTCACATCACCTACGTCGTCTACTAACATTTTGTCAAGACCCTAAGGTCCTAATGAGGATTTGACGATATTTGCTACGGCAAGAACGGCTGTAACTGTTTTTTTAAATATATATATATATATGTATTACTGTTATTATTATTATTTTATTTTTATTTTTTTACCATTATTTGTTCTTACATCTTATCCTTAATCTCTTTCTCCTAATATACTTACTGATGTCATTTTATTTTTAATTTTTTTATTTTATTTGTTTTTTATTTTTTTTAAGATATTTTAATTATAAAAGGAATAATGAATTTATTTATAATTAATTTGTATTTATATTTTTAATTTTAAAAAAATTTAAAAATAATTAAATATTTATTTTCTTTTTTTTAAAAAATATTTATTTATTTATATAAATTAATTTTATTTATATTTTTTTAATAAAATTTTTAAAAACTACTTTGCTTTTATTTTTATGTAAAAATAGTATCATGTTTTATTTTAATCATATATAAATATAATTTATTTTATAAATAAATATTTTAATAAATAATATATTTAATTAATATATATATATATATATTAAGATTTTATTTATTTAAAATAAAATATTTGAATTAGTATATTAATATTAGTTAAATTTTTAGCTAAAATTATATCATTTAAATATATTATTAAATATTTTAATAATTTTTAGGGTAAATATTATAATTTTCTTTTAAAAATTTAATATAAACAAATATAAAATAAAATATATAAATTAAATTTTCTATTTAAATAATTAAAAAATAAAATAATAAATTATTATAAAATAATTTAAATTTTTATTTTATTAATATTAGAGATGTAATTTTAATTTATAATTATTTAATTTAATTTAAATTTATTAAATTAAATGAATAAATGTAAATAATAACTAGATAAATTATAAAATAATTTATATAATATAATAAAAACTAAATATATTTATTTTTTATTATCTTTATATTGTAAATAAATGAATACATAATAAAATTGAAAAAAAAAATATTAAAGCGTTGTAAATTAAAAAAATTTATTAAAAATCATTTATAACAAATAAAATAGAATATTTATTATAATTTAAAAAAAAAAAAGTAAATATCTTTAATAAAATCGATTATATAAAAATATATTTGTATAAAGAAATAATAGGTTGTATCTGATTAAAGTTATAATTAATTAATATTAATTAAGAAAAAATAAATATAAAATACTATTCATTTACAAAATAATTATTATAAATAAATTAGTGATATAAAAATTAAATAATTTTATAAAATAATAAAACTAAAATTATTTTAAAAAAAATATTATTTTAAAAGTATTCGAAAATATATAATATAATATATAATAAAAAAAAATTGAAATATTTGAAGTATAAATCTTAAAAAAATAAGGATGTTATAGAAAAAAATTAATTTATATTTCTTTAATTTACATAGTAAAAAAAAAAAAATTTTATAAAATATTATAGGTAAAAAAATATTATAAAAAAAAAAAAAATTTAAAAATAAAATTATATATGTAAATTTTTAAATTTATATTTATATTTATATTTATATTAATTATTAATTATTAATTATTAATTATTAATTATTAATTATTAATTATTAATTATTAATTATTAATTATTAATTATTAATTATTAATTATTAATTATTAATTATTAATTATTAATTATTAATTATTAATTATTAATTATTAATTATTAATTATTAATTATTAATTATTAATTATTAATTATTAATTATTAATTATTAATTATTTATTATTAATTATTAATTATTAATTATTAATTATTAATTATTTATAATTAAATATATATTATTTTTTTAATAAAAAAAATATATATTTTTTTTTTTAAACTTTATATTAATAAATTCATTTAAATAATTATTATATTTTTTATTATTTTAATTTATTTGAATTATATATTTTTTTTATATAATTTATATAATCTTTATAATTTTACTATTTTATTATTTTAATAATGTTTTAATAATTTTATTTTTAAAATAATTTATTTTTATCAATCTTCAAGTATTTTCAATATTTCAATTTATTTTTTGTAATTTTTTAAAAATTCCTCTTTTACTTTTTACATTATTTTTTTATTTTTTAATATTTTATGTATCCATAAAGATAAATATTTTTAAGCCATTTTTTCTATTTTTTTTATTGTTCCACTGCAATACAAAACTTTTATTTTTACCCTTTATTCATCTAAATTTTTAACAAAAATTATTGAATTCCATAATATTCGTATACATTCCCTTGAAACTCTCACAACAAACAATCCAGTTTAATCATTTATATATTTAACTATTTATACATATATTATTTATATTTTATTTAAATATATATTCACTTTGTAAATTATTAGACGTTAATGCTTGACCATAATCTCCGTAATTAAAATTAA